AAAAAAAAAAAAAAAAAAAAAAAAAGATCTTTTGAAGTCTTGGCCTGAGATAAGAGGGGTCCTAACACTTAGGGAAAGTATACCTCACCAGCCACTATCTGGGTGCTTTACATCTCTTGTAATCATCACGACAACCTAGGAGAGCTGTATTATCACCTCCTTATTTCCAGTGAGGACACTGAGGTACAGAGGGCTTCAATTTCCCAGTCACACAGCTAGTAGATGATGGAGCTGAAATTAGACCCTGGTCTCTAGGTCCAAACGTTACGCTTCTTTCAGCTGAGCCACTCTGCCTCAGGGCATTTGCAAATTAACTTTTCTTGAAGTGCCTGTTGAAGACATTCATCAAAGGCTAATTGGGGAAAAAAAAAAAAAAAAAGGTTATCTGTTTATGTGTTAAACAACCTATTTTGAGACTCTCTCTCAGTATATTATGGACAATATGTTTTTAGATATTGTACCAAAATAAGTTTCATAGATTACAGGATTTTAGAACGGGATGTGGGGGGTGGGGGGAACCGAGACAACTCTAATCCATACTAAGCCTTCATAGTTGATTGAAGAATCATTTTCTTTCAATCATTTATTCAGCAAAATACAGTTCTTCCCCCAGTCAGGATGCTTTCGGCAAAGGACATTTTTCCAAGAGAAGTGTGTTGCAGAGGAAGGAGCTGTTTATTCTCTACTTGTGCCCAAAGTTAGGAAACTGCAACAGGGCGCATCATGACGACAACATCCTTTTAGCAAAGTCTGATCCTTCCTTTCCCCAGGGCTATGCTTCTCTCCCTTCTAGCAACTAGGGGTCTTTCTTGGGCTGGAATCTGGAGAACAGAAACTGGAGTCTGGAGCTGTTACTTACCAGCCATGGAGAAAGGGCTCTTTGGGTCTCTCTGGGCCTCTGTTTCTAGCACTGTAAAATGGGGATAATATCAAATAGGGAAACCAATCCAAGTGCTTAGCAAGTTAAGGTAGTATTAGTGTTTGTTATAAAGCATTCACAGGGGGCTCTAAATATTTTATTATGACACTGAGACAGATAGACTTGATAAAAGACAGGGTGAGAAGGGAGTTAAGTTATGAATCAAAAACCAACAAGTAATGAAATGGTCAAAACTTCAGAAGGGAGGCTGAAAGCAAGTGGCATGAATAATTCATAAATTGAATATTTCATCTGCAGCAATGAACAACTTGTTTATAGTCAATGCTTTAACTTTCACCATTTTTTAAAAGCCATTAAATCATTTTATCTCCAGGGCAATTCATTTCATTCCTATTTTTGCAGAAAAAGGACAGGCAAGTGTGTTAGAGGCAAGCCTAGGAGCCCACAGGTCATCAGTGGCAGATCCAGAACTATTATGGCATAAAGAGTAGTCAGTGTTTGTTAAGCACTTACTCGGGGCCAAGTACTGTACCCAAGAGTTTCACATGTATCTGATCCTCCCAGCAGCACTATGAAGTAGGTGATATTATTATCCTCACTTTATAGATTGGGAAACTGAGGTTTGGAGTGGTGAAGTGACAAATGACAAAACTAATGAGTGTCAGAGCTCAAAATGAAGTGAATCTGACTTAACCCCCCTGCACTACCCACTCTGCTAGGCTGCCACATCGCTCGACTCTTAGTTTAAGGTTCTTTTCACACGGGTAAGGAGGTCAATTTCTATTTGCTATCAGTGGAGTTGAAGAACCTTTTCATAATGCTCTCAGTGATTAAGAGTTTTCAACCAGCATTCAGATGGTGGCTGCCTGTCACAGTAGTGTGTGTTTTCATGACAATTTCACTCTAATGGATCTTAGAAATCTGGTGAGATGAGACTCAGGAAACAAGGATACAATATAATTATGGGGGCTATTGACCAACAAAAGACTGATGTTGGTAACATTGAATTCCTCTGTGTTGTGTAAAACACTGTTTAAGCCAAACTAATTCATTGATTCATCTGATCATTTGAGGATACCCACTGTGCCCAAAGACACTGTGATAAGTACAGTGTGAAGGATATAAAGCCCTTATTTTCAAAATACAAGGTAGAAAGCATAATGCATCAGAAGAGAAATAGACCTTCGGGCCATAGTGTTCATAGGAAACAAAGATTGCCTCCAGCTATGGGTACCAGGAAGGGCTCCGAGGTAGAGGAATACGCACTTATTGTAACTCAAGCTGTTTCCTGGAAGGCAAACCCTTGGTATAATCCATACTGATCATTTTTCTGAATTCCTATAGTTCTTATATGTCTGTGCGCGTTGATTATAACTGATATTCTCCAGGTGTTTCATGAGTTGGTTAAAGGTACCTCAAAGACAAAGGATTATAAATCCTTCATAATTCTTATTTGTCAGAATATCTAGCGCAGTGTAAGACATGCAACAACAGGTGCTGAGTAAAAACTCCATTGGTAAATTTATGTTTCTTCTTCTGAGAGTTGAAGGATCTGAGCAGGCGTATAGTTCTATTGCAAATGTGTTGTTAATTGTAACTCTCAGATACAGCTAAGCTTTCTTCTTCTTTTTTTTTAATTTGACTTTTTTTTTCCTGATTAGAATGGAGAGCTTTTCCCAGAGTGGATTAATTTCGACTGATACTTTAGATTTGTTAAGTGAATAATTTAAGGAAGTAATCCCGGGAACCCACAGATGTAACCACATCCCCCATACTGCATACTTGCCATTGGGAACTTTATTGCTAGCCCAGCACACTTTCTCAGCACCCATCCTCTCTTCCCAGGGAGAGGAAGCGACTCTGAATCCGACTTGCCCCATCGGAAGCTGCCGGATGTGAAGAAGGATGACATGTCTGCGAGGCGGACATCCCACGGTGAGCCAAAATCAGCAGTGCCTTTTAACCAGTACCTCCCCAACAAAAGCAACCAGACAGCCTACGTCCCCGCACCTCTGAGAAAGAAGAAAGCAGAGCGAGAGGAATATCGGAAGAGCTGGAGTACTGCCACCTCCCCACTGGGTGGGGAGAGGCCCTTCAGGTAAGACCTGGACTGCGCTGCTCCCATCCTGGCTTGTGGTACAGGAATTACGGCCCCAGGACAAGAATGAGCTCAAAGAGCCATTTTAGAACTTTGGTGTAAGATTACAGATGGAGGTGGGCAGGACACATCTTCAGAGAGGGATTGTCATGATAGAATATAAGCTTCGTGAAGGCACCTGTTCTAGGTGCGCCTGGCACACAGTAGGTATTCAACCAATACTGGTCTAATGAGCAGATTTTAACGAGCAGATTTTTGAAACTAGCTCTATCGACAGGACATTGAGAACATCTGTCATCCATGGCCTTCTGTGGAGACTGACTCCCACTCCTGTTAGATCAGGTGCAGTAAGACCTTTTATCTAGATGTAAGTTTATCTAGATATGAGCTCAAGCGTTATTGAAGGGATGCATGAACATGCTTGAGTCACGTGTAGAAACAGTCATAATGAAATGGAAGAAACGTTGGACTTCTCATCTCTTGAGAGAAACAAGCAGTCTTTCCCCTAACCTCTGATTATGTTTTTGTATTTATTCATTCATTTATTCAGCAAGTATGCATCTAGTGAGCTTCTACTACATGCTAGGTACTATCTTTTAGGCTTTGGGGACCCAGTGGTAGCTAAGATAGAGTCCCTGCCTTCAAGAACCGTAGAGTCCAATAAAAGAAACTTAAACAGTCTCATCTAATCCCTTTCAGCAAAACCACCCTTATCATTGCATGGTTATTCCTTGTAGTCCACCTTTATTATCTATGATTTCCGATTGAATAAACATTAAAAGTTCTAATTATTGAACAAAACATGAATTATACCTTTCTAGAACAAAAGGTTTTTGCCTTTCAATATCAATTTTGAAATAGCTCTTAATCAATGTCGAGATTATGATGCATTGTATTAATTTAAAAATGGCTGCATTTAATTTTTTTCACATTACCAGGATCATATTGCATGCTATGATTTTTTTGTTAAGTGGAAGTAATATCAGAATGACTGGCAGATGACATGGGATCTGCTCTCCAGCCTAGTCTGTTAGTTTGGTCAATTATGTTGTCCAACTCACTAGCTATCCTGAAACAATAGAGGAAGAGGGAAGTGAAGTGGGGTCTCCTTGTGAAGAGGACCCCGTCCGCCGAATGGACCCTGGTGGGAAGCCTCCTGGTGGTGGGTTAGAATTACCCACCGGCAGTGGGAAGGCGCAGCCTCCTCCAGAGGGGGCTGCGGTGGCACCAGCTCCCAAGTCTGAAGAGGAAGATGCTGCTGAAATCCAAAAGCGCAGAAGGCTAGAGCAAGCTGGAATCAAGGTCATGCCAGCAGCACAGCGCTTTGCCAGGTTAGCTTTCCGGGCCAAGGACAGGCCTGGCTGGCTTTGTGCATGCCTGGAGGTTTGGAATCTGTCTGGTGTGATGGAGTTTCCATCTTGTTTTCCCACTTCCTGCTTTATCCGTTGCATCATTATTTCCTACTTGCAGCAGATAGAAATAGCTAATAGTCTTTGTCTTCAGGCCTGTCTCTGCTGAGTTTCTGGTTCTTTTAAATGGAGGTGAAGAGGGAGCTTTGTGCTGTCAAGTATGTGTGGTCAGTTATTTGTGGGCTGCAGGATTTATCTTGCAATAACATCTTATTTTTCAATTGTTTATGGCTTGTTAATTTTCACACTACCCCTAAATGGCTCTTATCTTACTTTACACATCACTAGAAAATAGTTCTTTGGAACGGGGAACACTCTCTTTAGAAAGAGTGGCTGGCTGACAAAAATCCACTTACTTTCTTTGTCCCAAGGGAGTAGTAAGTAAGATTAGGTTTATTTGACTCATTTTCTAAAGCTCGTTGATTCAAAAACAAAGAATGGAGTAATTACTTCTCTTAATTGTAACAAAGGCACTAGTATACAGTCCTGGTGGCCTCATATTACATGTGAGATAGAGACCTTTAGCAATTGAAGTCGCAGAAAACTATAGTTCTACAGTTTTGTGTAGTGTTTGGGGAAGCTGATTAATTTTTCTCATATAATAGCCACAAAGATACTAACAAGTAATAGTGAGACCAAACTTTATTTGACAAATTGAAATTCATAACAGTTTGACAGCTGAAATTCCTTTGCCACTTGATGTTCCATTTAATCCTAAAAGGTAGGTGATATGCCCATTTTCAAGCAGAGTAAACTGAGGATCCGTGGAAGTAAGTTACTTGACCGTCTCAGAGCTGGTTACCACTGACCTGGTGGCCAGATTCAGATGTTCTGACCATAGTGCCACAGCTGCCTCACACACATTGAATGGAATGTCTTCCATTCCTCCATACAACTCGATGTGTGATTATCGCTGTGGTCTAGGTCTTCAGTGAAAGTTCCAGTACTGACTTATATGGATTTAATCCTAGAGTAGCTTTGTACTGATAAAACATCAAGGAGGTAATTCTTTCTGTCTGTGGTATCCCACAAACAGGCTTGTCTGTCCCAAACATGTATGTGCTTCTAGAAAACTCTAACATAAAACTGTGCTAATGTTACAAGCAACTCTCTGGGTCTCTGAAATAATGAAGGGTAATGTCATAGAATCTTAAAAAGAGAAATAAATCCAGATATTCTTTAAATTTTGGTTCAGAGACCTTGTGAGACACATGCTTTTTCAACATCATTTGAGCTTCTACTTATATCAAAGACCAGGCTAGATGCTGAGAATACAAAAATGCAATATACCCCCTTACCGTTTTTCAGATTTTTTCTGCTTCTGCCTTCAAGTCTAGGGCACAGTGGAAATAGGTAATAGGTGATACAGATAAGAGTATGAATTTATAAAAAATCTTTAACCTTAATACCCTTGACACACATACCTTCATTTTTTATCACATCTGTAAAGTCTTTAAAATTTACCAAAGACACTATCATCTTTATGATGTATTTTTTTTCTTGTTATCTTCAAAAATTGCCAATCTGCTTGATTTTTTAAATCTCATTTTAAAAAAATTGATTTTTCCATGATTACTAATGCTGTTGACTATTATACCATGTTTATTGGCTACTTGGGTTTCTTCTTCTATAAATTCTCTCATATCCTTTGCCATTTATTTTTTCCTTTAAAAAAAAATATTGTATTGTGGTAAGAACACTTGGCATGAGACCTACACTCTGAACAAATCTTTAACTGTACAATACAGTGTTGTCAACTACAGATACAATATCATACACCAAATCTCTAAAATTTATTCATCCTGCTTAACTGAAACTTTATGTCTGTTGATCAGCAATCCCTATTTCATCCTCCCTCAGCCCCTGGCAGCCACCATGCCACTCTTTGATTCTACGTATTTCACTACTTTAGCTACTTCATATAAGTGGAATCATGCAGTATTTTTCTTTCTGTGACTGGCTTAGTTCACTTAGCTTAATGTCCTCAAGATTTATCCATGTTGTCACATATTATAGAATTTACTTCTTTTATAAGGCCGAATAATATTCCTTTGTAGGTATATACGACATTACCCTTATCCATTCATCCCTTGATAGACATTTAGGTTGTTTCTACATCTTGGCTATTTTGAATAATGATGCAATGAGATAGGAGTGCTAAGATCGCTTTGAGATCCTGGCTTCATTTCTTTTGGATATATACCCAGAAGTGGGATTGCTGGATCACACGATAGTTCTGTTTTTAATTTTTTTAAGGAAACTCCATATCATCTTTAGAGTATCCAAAAGAGCAAGGGGAGACAAATGGGCAGATAGTTTAAGAGAACTCGGCACAGCCAGGAATCATGATGACGTAGAGAAAAGAAAAGAGTGGGCAAAGACTGGGGATTCCACGAGTATACTGTGCCTCTTCAGTAAGTGGGAGGTTTATTTTCTGCTAAAACAGTACAATCTTTTATGACAGCTCCCATTCTGTGTACAAACCTAGAATCACGGTTAGTTTACAAATGTAATTCTAATTGATGAGTAGTATATTTTTGTGGTAATTTTTGCTCCTGTCCGTGTTCCTGTTATCTGCCTTAATTTTTACGTATTTTATCCAAGTTAGCTCTATTAAGCAGAAATTCGCAGGTCAGTTAATATCTGCAAATGTCAGTTAACGTCACACCTTAGAGCTACTGACTTAGCATTTAAAACGGAGTTCAGGAAAATCATGCATATTCCCAGAGAACGTTCCCAATAGCAACATAGCACAGCTGCTCCAAACACCCAGAATTCATTTGTTGATAGATTTTTCAGCTGCTAGCTCTCGCATAAAAATTTTATACATACCATGCCACTAGCCTGGCCTGTCTGTGTCTTTGTCACCTACTTTTTGCAGCCCACAGCAGAGTTGACAGTCATTCTAAGTTTATCCACATTTGGGATCCTGCTTTTAATGTGACAGAAAGTAGCTTAACTGGAATGAAATGCATATCATGAAGAAGAAAAGGATTCTTGGTGTCTGGAAAATAAGAATATAAAACATTTAAATATGCTGACGTCTCTTAAGGCATTGTAACCTCAGTCTCCTATCTTTGCAATCCAGATGAATTCTGGCCACCACATCTTGGAACCCAACAAGAGGCCCCAGATATTTCTTGCGGCCCATTTTTTTAGCTGGGAAAGTCTGTGTTTGGAGAGCTGGGTAGAGGATGAGGCATAGGCAAGGAAGGAGGCATGTAGACAAGAGTAAGGCTGTACTTTTACAGATGGGGTTTTTTTGTTTGTTTGTTTGTTTGTTTTTTTTGCGGTACGCGGGCCTCTCACTGTTGTGGCCTCTTCCGCTGCGGAGCACAGGCTCCGGACGCGCAGGCTCTGCGGCCATGGCTCACAGGCCCAGCCGCTCCGCGGCATGTGGGATCTTCCCGGACCGGGGCACGAACCCGTGTCCCCTGCATCGGCAGGCAGACTCTCAACCACTGCGCCACCAGGGAAGCCCCAGATTGGTTTTTTGTTTTTTGGGGGTTTTTTTGGCTGTTGTTTCCCAAGTATTCTCAAACACCTCCTTAAATTATTTTTAATATATAAAAAGGAGCAGAAGTGCATGTT